AGGAAAGGTGGGGGGGGGGGCAGGAATGACAGCTCCCAGCCTCCTGGGCGGCAGCTGGGACGATAAAACGCTGCAGGGTGCCTTTGGTTCCTGAAGGTGAGAGCAAACGCGCCTGCAGTGGTCCTCCTCATCCTTAGACCTCCCAATTGGCAGAGTCTCGCTTGTCCAACTGTCCATGGCGGTCCATGAGGATGCCCACTGCCTCCCTGGGATTGCAGGCTGTCCTGCAGGCGGGGGCTCCTCGGTCAGAAGCCACCATGTTTGAAGCTGTCTCCCGGCCCAGCCTTTGCCCTTCCTGTTTCTAATCACCAGGCTGTAGCTTCCCTTTGATTTCGTGGCCCTCCGTCTGAGCCAGGGGTGACCTGTCTGCCTCTGGCCGTGCCCGGCAGCCTCCGCGAGGGCAGACAGTGCCCCTTGCGCAGGCTCCGTGCCCAGCAGGAGATGGAGGCTCTGCACTACGGCTCCTGAAGCCTGCTGCTGCTGGGCTTCCAGCAGGAGCTCCTGGGAATTCAGCTCTGACAGCAGCTCTGTCAGGCGTCAAGTCTTCCTGGCTCAGGAGCAAGGCAGCAGCATCCGGGAGGCCTCCTCCTGCTGCTTGTCACGCAAGGCCACCCTGAAGCCACCCTGTGGAAACACGAAGGGCCCTGGCTGCCAGCCCCGTGTTGTTAAACAGCAGGTCATTCGGGCTGCCATACAAGCCGGTGGCCACGAGGTCCATGAAAGACCAGCTACCAGCACGGATTCTGTCTGAAGGCACCAAGCTGGGGAAGGTTGGGCTAGAAAGCAGTGATGAAGAGGGTGAGGATGCTGCTGGTGTGATGTTGCAGGGTTGTTTTTAATGTAGCTCCCCCCCCCCTTCCTATACAAACAGGGCAGTCTAGGTGGTTAACAACACACTGGATGCAAAAAGGAAATAACTTGAGTAGAAATGAGTATTAAAATCAGGTCATCCTCGAGCTTTCTACTTCCCCAAGGAAACCTGTGCAGCGGTACTGAACCTTCCACCCTCCCAGCTTGTCCCACATGGCTGAGCCAGCTCCCAGTAGCTCCCAAGCCCTCTGCCTGCCGAACCAGCAGCTCCCTTCAGGGAGGCTGCTAAGAAACGTCCCTGTGGTGTTAATACATTCAGCTTAGGCAACTTGTGAGTCCCCTTGGATTGTGCTGAATGCGCCACGTAGGCCTTTCTGCAGCCCCAAGGGCATGAACCTCAGGGTCCCATTCAGGTCCCCATGTGCAGAGCATGCCTTTGAGGCCCAAGAGGGGTCTCTGGCGAGGCAGGCCGCTGACAGGTCTCCTTGTTTCCTCTTGAGGCAGGTGTTCAAGCGCCACAACCCAGGCCCGGCAGAGGAGCAGGAGATGATGGAGAACCTGTTTGACTCCCTTTGCTCTTCCCTGATGCTGAGCTCCAACCGGGACCGCTTTCTGAAGGGGGAAGGGCTGCAGTTGATGAACCTCATGCTCAGGTGAAGGCACGCTGTACGGGACCCCAGAGCCAGGCCTCTCTGGGGACAGGGATGGAGGCTCCCCCCACCCCGCCAAAGCATAGATAGAAGCCGGCTCCCTGGAGAGTAAAGCCAGCCTTCGGTTGCCGAAAGTGGGCCTCCTGGGCCCAAGATTTAGTGGGGGAGAAGGGAGGAAGGGTTGCCTCTGCTCCTGTGCATGGTCTCCCTCAACAACCAGTCATAGTGGCAATGACCGTACCAGCCACGGGGTGAAGGGACTGTCATCCAGCACATCTGGAAGGCAGCAGGCTGGGGAAGGCTAATGTGAGGAGAGAGGGAGCCCTCCAGGGCAGCCAGCCTTTGGGTTGGAGCGCTCTTCCTTGCACTCGGCATCCAGTCACGCTGACCGCTAAGGCCGTCTGTAGTCAGTAGTCAGTATGCCCAGAAACAGTTAAGGTAACAAGGGCTTTTCATGGGTGGGGTCTCAGTCTGGGAAGGGGACGTCCACTTCCACTGGTCACTTGGATGTCTCCCTCCGGTCGCCTCACGCCAGTTCCACGGAGAAATGGGAAATCAAGCCTCGGCAACTTCCCTTCCTGGCCTGGATGTGAGACCGCAGGAGCCCCTTGTTTTGAAAGCTCCCATCCAAGAGCAACCCCCTGTTCAGCAGCCTGCTTTGCGGATGGAAGCCGAAAAGTCGCAAGCAAGGGGGAGTATCGGTGCTGCTGTGGAGCCCCAGCAAAGAGAACCCACCCGCGTCCCTCACGGTTTGAGGCAGGTGGTGAGATTGTGGCAGACCTGGACTGCGTCCCGCATCCCCGCCGCTTGGTTTCCATGCCTGTTTGCGAACACGAGTGCTGCTGGGGCAGGGAGGGGGCCTCTGGGGGCAGCTTAGGAATCCCCGGGGGCCATGGGCGGGCACTCGACTGCTCTCCCAGATTCCGTGGAATGCTTCGGGGCTGGCGTTGAGGTTGAGGGAGTGCCACAGCCCCCACACCCAAGATATAGCTTGCGTGAAAGCCTACTTTTTCTTCCACCCTCCCATGGGGGACTGAGCTCACCCCTCCCCACACCCTCCCTCTTGCTCTTGCTCTTGCTCTTGCTCTTGCTCTTGCTCTTGCTCTTGCTCTTGCTCTTGCTCTTGCTCTTGCTCTCAGCTTTCCCTCAGTGGAGGGAGGTCTTTGGAAAGGTGGCTGGCAAGAAGTGATCTCTTCCTGCAGAGCCAGGCTGGCTAATGCACAGCAGCAGCAGGGGACTAAATAATAACCAGGAAACATGGATTATTTAGACTGGGTTCTGCTGAGTTTTCTTTAGGCTGATTAAAGCAAAGCTGCACAGTCCTGGAGCCACGGCGGAGAAGAGGGCGCGCTTCCTTCCTGGATGTCCTTGTCCTTCTCTCCTCTGGACTCAGGCCTGCTCTGCTGGCCTTGCAGAACTAATTAGCTGGAGTCCTTGAGCTGCACAGGAGGGATCCGGTATTTTAATTTTTCTCACTGGGTCTTCCCATCCATCCCCTACCTGCTCCTCCTTCCCACCCCCGCCTCATTTTGGGGTTATGCTGTTTGCCATCTCCTCTTCCATCTTGGCAAATAATGACAAGGAGAACAAATGGGTCCCCAGATGTGGCTACATTTCAAAGGAGCTCTGAAAGGCAAAGTGAGGCTTAAACCCACAGCCTGCCAGACATCGTGGAGCATCCCTTATCCCCCTTGGAAAGCGGGGGTTGCAAATAAAGCACAGGGTTGGCATGAAGCCAGCCCTCCCCCTTCCAAGTCCAGTGATGCCTTCTCTTTATCTTCTAAAGAGTTGGGGCAGATGTCTCCACTCATGGTTATTGGGCTGGCATAAGAAATGAACTTCCAGTGGCTCTCAACAGTGTTCCTAAAGACTTTTGCAGCAACAGCAGAGACATCAACTATCTCCATTCTTATCGCAAGCCACAGTTGTACTCTGGCTCTATGCTGAGTTGCCTTGGAAGAGTGGTGAAAGGCTCAGTTCACCAGGAGATGGTGCCCAGCCAGGTTTTGACTCTGCAGCAGGAGATCCATCTGTCTCTGAGAAGCTCTTCCCATTCCTTGAGATCATTTGGGGAGGCATTTCTTTCAGGATGCTTAGCGAGGACACAGGGTAGGGCTGAACAAGTGGCTGGTGGAAACCACAATTCAAGCATTTTCCCTACCACAGATGATCCATATGGTGACGGTAGATTGGAATTACCAAGGCATTCATCTTGGGACTCTCTCGTTGGAATGTACAGCGTTGGGAATGTATAAAGGTTGTCTTTGAATGTTGTATTTTATGTTATATGTTAGTACCAGTAAGGCCAGGACAGTAAGCATTTGTCTGTGCATTCACCAGGAATTGAACCCAGTTTGATGGCACACAACTAGTTAACCAGTATAATAGTAATGATGGCTAGCATAACACTTTTAATCAGTCTTTTGTTGCTTCTCCACCTTCCCTATCCATAACCATAATGCCCTTTTCATCCTTGGTGCCTGGGTGATTGTTGCAAAGATAAAAATTGCTGATTGTGCTTAAACTGTGTATGTGCACACACACATATGTCTGCATGTGCACTTTGTGGTCATGGTTCTTTGCCTCGGTGAGATTCCCTGGCTCTCACGTTTTCCTGCGTGCAGAGGACTCTGTAAGCAATTCCTATATGGCAGTGACACTTACGACTCTGCAGGATTATTTTTGCCATCAGCAGCGGTGGCAAGAAAGTACTGCCCTTACTGGCCCACATTCTGAGCTGCCCCATCTCTAGGGTAACATGCATAATTTAGTTTAATCCAGGATGGGTTTTCCAGTGAGGATCCTGACCAGATGGCCCGAACCCGCTCACTCTGGTGATGACCAAAAGGACTCCAGTATCCCCAGAGAGGCCATGTCAGGTCAGCCTCCAGAGGACGACCGGGGAGGAGCCTTCAGTTCAGGACACTGCTGCTTGTGGATTGCTATGTTGTGTTTTGATCCTGGCTTCAGCTAGGACCCTGACTGTCAGTCTGCCCTGGCCCTACAGGGTGTGCTGCTGGACGTGGCTTATGAGAACCTGGTTATCTTGAACTTGTCCATTTAGCTGGAGGAGGGACGAAACTTCAAATTTGCTGGGTAAAAATTGGTAGCTGGAAAAGGCGTGGCCCTTCATAGCCGATGTAGGCTGCCCAGAGTCCTTTGGGATTGGGTTGGGTTATGAATGCTGTAAATAAATCGCTCGCCTGGTCTACATGTGAGCAGATTTAGAGCTGTGTATTTTATCACAGTGTGTATATATTGCCCCATAATAAAGGTTCTCAGGGCACTTTACAAAAAAGACCTAAAGAGAATAAGATTTACTTCCCAGTTAGCGGCCTCCAAAGGGAGGCTTGGTGGTGTCACAACAATTTCAGAGCTGTCTCCAGCTGCAGTTCTGTCTCTTCCCTGGCTGGGAGGTGCCTGGCATCTCTTGGAGTGGAAGTGATGCCCCTTTGTCGGCTTTGCAAAGGCAGGGTGAGGCTTCCGAGGCCCTCGGGAATGTTGACCTGTGAGGCCGCCGCCACTGCCGCCACCTCCTCCTGTGTAAAAGGAGGAAGGTAGCCTTGATCTCTTGGTGGATAACCTGGGAGGCCTTTTCCTGCAGAAGTGAAGGAGCTGGCTTAGTTTTTAAATTCAGGCCATGTTTGAAAAATAACGGGATGCATTTGGGTTGCGGGGGAAGGAGATGGAAGCCTGGGGAGGCAGATCACTGCTGTGAAGCCATTAGAATGGCTTTCTTTGACCTGTGCAGAGGCTTTTTCTGGCTGCATGGCACCAGCAGAGAAGCTGCGTGAAGGGCCGGGCACACAGAACAAAAGACAAATAGATTTATGTGTGGAGTGGAGTGCCCCTTGCCTGCAGCAGCCTCTGCAAAATCTTTCATTACTTTTCTTGTTTTCACATCACATCAGCCCCTTGGAAACTCAAAATTAATGTGTAACTACTGAGATTTCCTTTTATTACCAGCTTTGTGCTATGTTTACCTAGCCGAATTGGATCCTGGGCCAGGTTTTCTAAAGCAGCCACCTTCTGCAAGCATCGTACAATAGAGACCCTTGGTGGAAGGAAGCTTCCCCTGGCTCTATTGTACGGCGCTTCCAGAAGGATGCCCAGAATGGAAGGTGAGTTGAATGGAAGGCTTTCTTTTTGTTCTGGCTTCTTTTTACAGGGTGTGGCTGGGAAATTCAGGCCCAGCTTCGTAGGTATCGGGAGCTGCAATCAGCTATTCAGCACGAGAAACCTAGGCCCACCTGCTGTGGTCCGTGCCTGCATAAATCTGGCGAGCAGAAAGCCACAGTGAAACTATCCCTGATACTTGGGCGCTGCGGTGGGTCAAGGATGGAGTTGCTTTCTGTGCTGAGAACGGTGCAGACATCCTCCTCCTTTGGGCCTGTCTTTACTAATTCAGAGATGGATCCGTAGATCTCTGCCTGGTCTACTTGTGAAAGGGGATCTGAGTATTGAATAGCTGAGTATTGTGCTCTCTCACCAAGTCTTTAATTCACACACACACACACACACACACACACATTTCCCCTCCCTCTCTTGCACTCACAGACCAGGTAGCAAAATCAGGGGACTTCCTTGAGCCCAAATGGACTGGGTTGGGGTTGGGGTTGGGGAAGCTCCAGCCCCTCCCAAGCCCCTCCAGCCCCAAGAACATGTCAGTTGCTTGTAGGGTCCTGCCATTGCTCTCCTTTTGAAAGAATCAGCCAAGAAAGGTGGATTAAGATAAACTGCTTGCCCTCTGGTAGAACAAATATTTCAAATAAAACCAACCTCGGACAGACCGGTCAAACATCTATTGATCTCTAAAAGCCTGAACTTAAATGCCATGAATATTCCGGGGATCAGCTCCTTGCAACCTGTCTAAACACTGATCGATATACAATTGCTTCCTCTGAAAAAGAGTCCTTCAGTTCTCCAGCTAAAACACGAACTTCCTTTAGCCTTTTACTATTTTGATTTTCAAGGTGAAGCAAGCAGACTTGGAAACAAGGAGGGGTATAGATGTGTGTGTTGGGGCAGGAGCCGAGTAAATTACCACTCATCCCTGTTCCTCTGTTCCAACACCCTGCTCTGCTCAGCTCTGAAAAGTTAACTGGTGGATCCATTCGCGTTGGTTTCGAATGAGGACGTTCTTCTGTCTGCCTGATGCTGAGCTTCTTCGAGTGGGGTGGCAGAGCCTTAGCTTTCTAGCAACTGCCGGGGTGTGCAGGTTGGCGCAGATGGCCCTTGAAGCTGAGCAGAGAGCTGCGCGTTGCCCCTCTTCCTTTTGAGGGACGTTTTCAAAGAGAATTGCGAAAATGTAGGGTAGGGCTTACAGAACATCTGGAACTGACAGGTTAGATTAGTCAGAAATGCTTCCTAGTGTCTTCTGGTACACCCCGGATTGCCAACTGTCTGAAGATCTGCTGGATAAGGTTATGGGGAGGGGGGAGGGAAGGGGGTTTCTAGGAGGAGATGCCTCTGGGATGCACGAAGTTTAGACAGGAGTGGGAATACTCTGTTTTACATGAAGACTTGTTTTTGCTCTTATAAACGTCATTTTGTATGTGGAGGTACATGCGTTGTGTGCATCAGAACAGCCTTCTGCGGTGTTCAACTTCCATAATTCCCAGCCAGGACTGAGTATGTTTTAGAGGAGTGGAATGTGGGAATGCCCTCTCCTGAGGCTGTTCTGTGCCGCTTTGGCCTCTGCAGTGGTCCTCCTCCCTCCCTTGGGCTTTCTTGGCTTCCCATTAAGACAGGAGGCGCTTCCAGTTTCTGGTTCAGCCTAACGCAGCCCCATGTCAAGCTAGTGGTGGTGGGTTGAGGGCCTGATTGTGCCTTTGGGCTGCGTGAGATGGTGGCCTTTTGTTTTGTGGGGTGTTAGAAGACACGGATGAAGTGGCCAAGATTTGTGGTCTCGCTCTCCCCTTTTTTCTTGCCTGTTCATATTCCAGTTCAGGCATCCCAACAGCTGTTGTTTCTGTTTCAGTGTCGGGTGTTTTCCCCCGAAAGACAGGCTCCCCAAACAGACTGGGGGCTATTCTGTGCTGAAGCAAGGGGTTTGATGACCAACGATTGTCTCTGTACTTACTTTTGTTGAATGACAGACACGCATCTGCATTTCGCAGCAGCATTTCCCAAGAGTGGCTGCAGTCGGGAAAGAGTGAAAACCTTGCTGGATGTGCCAGCAAGCATTCTGCACTGGCGGCCAAACTAACGCGGGTTACCAGCACTGCTTGCTTCAGGCAAGGAAGGAGAACACACAGGCAGAAGTAAAATTAATGACCATTAGTAAGTAGTTGGGAAGCAGAGCTGCTGAATAATCTAATATAGGCTTGGAGGCAGTCAAGCCAACGCTCTCCTGCGAAGTAGAACCTTTCAACTGAATGGGATCAGAGTTTTCTTCAGCAAGGCTTAGGTGGAGGAGCAGGTTCTTGCTGGATGGATCCCCGAGAACTCATATGTGCAGCCTAATGGCCGTGCCCCCCGGAGACACCCCGGATTATCCAGCCTTTGGGGCTTTTCCTTATGAAGAGAGGCTGGGCAGGTCTGTGCATCACAGAGATCCATTCACGTGTGTGTGGTGTGCAGAACTGGCTAGGAGGTTTCCTTCTTGTCTCTCTAATAGCCCAAGTTAAGATAGTGTGATGGACTGGAATGGAGGAAGGGGGGTGAAAACGGTGCTCTCGTCTCCAGAGCA